TAGTGTGCTACCTGGGTTCCGTCTTTATTACATATATATTCCGGCGTCCTGCCAATCTATAGCGCCTACCCCATTAAAATAATCGCAAAAGCAATCGCGTATTTCTCGTGCTTCCCTGGAAGATTGGTTGGCATTTAATCGCCTTCCTTGCATCGGAAGAAAAGCACCAGGCCTTACATTTTCAGCCAATTGAGTTTGAAGAGTTCCATTTTCTTCAATTCTTATAAAGTTGGGAAGAACACAAGCCTCTTTAATTGTTCTGTCTACTTTTGTCGGTTTAATTGCAATACTGGTTCTGCGTTCTACTGACGTCACGCAAATCGACGCAAGATCCTACCTTGTATTCATGGTATCATGGATGATTGCTGTGAGACCATGATTTGCCGGTTCACTGATTTTGGACGGTGGTAGTGGGTGATAGTTGATGACAGTGGTTGCTGTGGGACCGCTGCCTTAGGCGCGGTCCCACAGCAACCCCCAAATCGCTTAAATTTGTAGCGAGTGTATTATTTTACGAAAATTAACCCTAACAATGTATATTCGATTTTGAGTCATCATCAGGATATTTTAGAGATATTTTTTAGTATTTTCCGGTTGTTTATGCAGACTTATGATTTGCCAGTTAATTGCTCAATAGCTAGGAAAATTGGAAAGTGGGCTTTGCGTACATTTCGTAGGGCGAGGTATCATCCATGAGTGAAAAAAAAACGTCTCAATTTTAATTTATCCTGAATAATTTTACTTAAAATTTCGTATGATTTCTGAGTGACACATTTAATTCCTCAGAAAAGAGTCAAGATACGGATTAACTTTTGCACGAGATTTTTAGAACATGGTCCATTTTGCTCTTGATTTTTTCATATAATGCTCTACTAAAAAACATTACTACCGCGTAGTTTCACAAATGCAACTTTGTCAAAATTTAATTCATGCACATACTATTACTAGATGAACACTCGGTTACAAAACTTTATTCTGTTACGCAAATTTGATAGCATTTATTACGAAAAAACATGATCAGCTGGCAATTCTAATCATGGTTTTTTTAAATTTCTTCATTAGTCAGCCAGTTTATATCGGCAATGACTATGCTTTGCATCCACGATAAGCATGTTGCTGGGGCTCCGCACTAATTAGTGAGATACAGAAATACGATCCAGTTTGGCGTTTTTTTTCAAAATATTGAGTCTCAGATAAACCGCTAGACATTTGAAATGTTTCTCCACTAAATGTGATTTACACAAGTTCCTGAAATTAATCGGCAGATATTAAACGACAAATAAACACATTTGAAAAATAAATGTTTTTATATCGATTGGCAGTAATAAAGTGTAACACGCGCAGAGTGCAGGCTTACATAAACTTTGCGTAATACAGTCCCCAAGGCTTAGGCATATCCGATAAATGAATTAGCGGCTAATGATTTACAACGATTGTTATCGCTAATCAAGGATTTTTTTTTCGGTTCATCCATCAGCTAATAAGCTCCGTGAAATCTAAAAATATCAAGTAGTATCCCGAGCAAGAATAAAACAATGCTAAATATATCGTGTGCTCATTAAGAATTTGAATGCCTGTTACTTGGATAGAAAACCTTTCTTACATGCAACTTCGATAAATAGTGATTGTTTTCAAGATGACAGTGACCTATACTAGTGAAGTTACCACCAGCACCGGACTCGGTTGCTTTCTGAAACTACTGAGAAGGTAAATATGCCAGGTATATCCACATAACAGCGGCTATTTATATTTTTGTTTCAATTTATCCAGTTTGCCCAGGCATAACGGAATATTGCAGGAAGATGTTAAATAAAATACACTTATAAAAGTATCACTTTGTCAAATCTCTACGCAAACTGTGATTAAGATTTACGATTAAATGAACAATTTGCCTACTTTTCGCAAGCAATTTGCTTACATACTATTTAAATATTATTCAGAATATCTTTTAACTTATGACACTCGAAGTTTGTCTTTTCCATAACCGGCCAGCCGCCCTGATCTGAACACCTTGGACTTTTGTGTCTTGGACCCTTAGAGAATGATTGAAGGATTTCTGAAGTTTTTGCTGATTTAAATACTGTACAAAATCCAATTATGGATCCGGGGTGGGTGTCAACTTTAAATATGTACCCATAAAAAGTTAGTTTGTAAAAGTTTTTCTCTTTTGAAAAATATTGTTGTGATAGACCGCAAAATTTTACGACGGAACATTTAGTAATTTTTTGTTTAAAATAATAACAATTTTAATTCTGTGTTTTGCGGTTTTATTTAGCATAAACTTTTGTTTTAAGTAAAACATCCTTAAGTTTTTGGAAATTACTAAAATTTATCTAGTTTCTTTTACTCTCGTTCATTTATATTTACTTCATAACATTTAAACATTTTTAAAAATATTGTTATTGCTGAAAAGTAACCTTATTATGCTTTTTTGAGAGGAATCAGTTGGCTTCTTAAGCGGTTTTTTGACAAATTATGATTTTCGGAGACAGTGATGGTTTGATGACGTTTTAGGTTGATTTTGGGTGGTTAGGCTGAACGTTAGTTCAACGCAGGTTTTGGGCGATTCTGTACAGCACTAACTAGAACAGTATGGAACGAAATGGGCACTGAATATTGGCAAGCGTAAATCTCTCAAACTGCAGTACACTCTTTACCCTATAACTCGGTCAGTTATCAACATTTTTCACAAATTCAAAAACTCGTTAACAGCACATAGACTTAGCGTAAAAAGCTGTTTCAAGGCTAAAGTTAATTTTGGTCGCGATCTCAGCGCTAGGGGGTTTTAAATTTTCAAACATCTCAAGCTCTGGTTGTTCCTTAAAACACGTCCTTTTGCTACAAGTTTGGTGGCGCACCAAGATTTTTTCAACTCCAAAATGTATTTTTTTTATCCCCTGGTGGAAAGTACGTACTTTTGCCCTTATTTTCGATGGCGAAAGCATCACTTTTACCCATTATAAATTTTCTTCATCCCGTTCGCTACGCACGCTGACAGCTTGACTTTATCACTGACTGTTAGCTGACTGTTTTGACGACATTTTCAAAATCAGAAACTATCATCAAAATCTTATACTTTTCTGGGCTAGTTCCCACCGAGGATCAACAAACCACCGCGTGCATAAAGCCCTGGCCTCGGGCGTCAACTTCAAGCAGTGGCGGAACATCGACTTTCGTCTTTTGCACCGTAATATCCTACTGTTTTTAAAGCAACTTAACGACTTTAGAAAAATTTGCAATTACATTTTTTTGAACATTTCCTAATTTTTTGAAAATTATAAAACATATCTTATACGCACTTTTCTTCATTGATTATGTCAAGTATCATCAAATTTTGACACTTATTTAATGAATTCCATAGCCACCTTACAAAATGTAACAACTTTTTGA